GACTGGGGTTGTCCGGATAACTGATATTTCGGATAACTGATTTACGTACGAAAAAATAGTTTAACGTATCCGATATTGAAATTTTTATCCGTTGCATGTCGCTTCGCGTTGAATTTTCGTCGATGTTAAGCCTAACAAAGACTATTGTATCGTTAAAAATTATTTTTTTATTTTGTACAAACAAAATAAATATATTGAAAAATATAAAAATAATAAAAAATTATACTTCAGATGCTAATTTAGTATCAAAAACGTAAAATATTTGAGTAGCCCAAGACATAGCCAAAGATTGAAGCGCCACAGCATGGGCGAAAATTTAAATTTGCCGACTGGAATTCTTTCAGATGATTGACGTTTCGGATGATTGACTTTCGGAAAATCGACGCTCTACTGTAATAACTTCAAATTGTACTGGAAATACAATTTATGTATATTTTAATGGTTCTGTGTAACTAATTATGTATTCGTTTGAATTGAAATCAGTTCAAATTGATTATTTAACAGTCAATATTTATTTTTTATTAAAAGGTAAATAATGTGTTTAGAATAATACAGAATTTAAGCAGTTGACAGAAACTTAAACAAAAAAAAGATTTTAACAAAATGCAAAAAGTTCTACATAATTTGTTTTAAAAATATTCATATTTATAATTTCTTGTTTACAAATTTGCATTTATTATACTGAAAAATGATTTTAAAAAGAAATAAGAATAACTACAAATGGATAAATAAACAAACATAAGCTATTCAAAGAACAAGAAACTATATAAAAATTAGTTTCATTCTTCAATCTAAACTTCATACAAATATGCAAGAATTTGGAGTTTAGGATATTCCATAAGTTTGGTTCTTCCTTACATTATCTTTAATAACTCATACTAGCCCATTGTATATAAAAACATTGCCATTACCATTCTAATTAGAAGAGCCTACACTCTTTCTTCAATTCTGTCACACTTAAATGAGTTACTCATTATAACAACAGCTCTACATAAGCAGGATATCTGTATGATATTTTTAGTAATTCATATTAAGTATTATTGCAACACTATTACTAAATTATTATTGCAATAACTGTTGTATTTATTATTATTAATTTTATTCAGGGTTCTGGAAAGTTAGGTATTCTCATTAGTGTTTGGAAAAAGCCATGGAAAGTCAAGAAATTTGTCAAAAAGTCAGGGAGTTTGCCTCCTTGGCTGATTTGTTCATTTTTTGCTGACAATATGGTTGACTAAGTGTAGCCATCTGCAGTTAGCAAGAATTTAAATGTTTAGAATATTTAAATATTGAGGATGTTATATTGCATATAGTGACATTCTGTTCTAAATTTGAAACATTAGTTAGCCTGATGAGTGATTTTGTATTGTTGAAAGTAGTTGTGTTATAAAAAAGATTTTAATGCTATCTGACAGTGTATGCATCTAGTATTATGTCTAATTAGTGTGGACTTTGAAATACTATTCAACTATGTTAATTATGCAGTATTAAAAATTTGAGAGAGAAGTCTGTAATACACTTAATAATCTGACATTAATAAAAATTTTTTGAAATATTTTTAACTGTCAAAATTTTTGATAATTACCATTTACACTCAATTTGAGGGCAGATTTTAATGAACTGAAAAAAAATGCTAACAGAGTACAAAATATGATAAATAATTTTAATTTAAATGGTATTATTTTTCATTTTAATAATTTTGAATGCATAACAAACAATTTTTGATTTTTTTTCTAGTTTATTAATATTTTATAAAATTCAGGAAATTTATTGAAGGATTTAAATAAATTTAATATATTTATATACTTTTGTACATGGATGGATTATACAGGATTTGTTAACGAATAATAAATAAGTAATGGCTTTTTTCTTTTTTCAAAGCCATGTAGCTTTATGGTTGTGGATTAATAACAAGATAAACTACTTTAATTTAATGAAACATTTTATTTTTAGTTTTAAGAATTCAGCAATTATAAGAAATAAATAGCTGTTAATTAGAAAAAATAACTAACTAAAAAATTGGAGAAGTAATAGCATATGTGCATAGTTATTCAAATGCTGTTTTAGTTTGTCAATGTGCTACACAGTAAGGGATGTGAGAGTCAGGGAATTTGTACAAAGTTGGTTAGGGGAAGTCAAGGAATTTAAAACAAAGATTTGAGTAGGAACCATGTTTATTTTGTATTTCTTTGAATAATAGATATGAATTTTGTAACAACATACTGTTGATTCCTCCAGGGATACAAATGATATGTGAATATTTTTAAATATGTTTCGTATATAATGACAGAAAAGCATACAAAAATAATTCATTTTGTTTTTAACTATTTTTCTTAAATTATAAAAATTATGATTATTAGAACATATTTTGTAAAGCTAGTCACAGTTTCTTTCTATATACTGACTGTAATTTATGTTATGTAGAAGTTTGTTCTCTATAAAACTATCATTTTGAGATTTTTTTAATATTGAATATATTTCTTAGAAATAATAATTATTGTTAAGTTAAATTTACAACAAAGTTTATAAATTTTATGCATTTATAAAGATCTATTAACAATACCACCTGGATTTGAAGTTGGAATGAAATTTGAGAAAAAGAAAGAAGAAATTGAACAATCTGTAATTAAATTGTCAGATATTTTGTCTTCATATGATATATCTGAATTAGATTCAGTAGCAGAAGGATTTGTGTTTGAGAGTAGTGAAGATATTGATAGAATTTCAGTAAGTATTTTTTTACTTTTTTTACAAATAGTTTATGAAAGATTGATTAAACAAGAGAAGAACAAATTATCACACAGGCGTTAATTACGTATAAATTTCGCTATGTTTGCAAGCATTTTCAATGTGTTATAAATCGTCGTCCTCAGGCAGACACAATCTCAAATAAAAAAAAAATTTTTTTTTTGAACAAAGACTTTGAATTAAAACTAACAGCATTAGTCCTTTGGAACAAAGCTAAACTTAGAACAACTACAACTAGGTGTCTGCCTGAGGATGACATTTTATAGCATGTCAAAAGCGTTTGCAAATATAGTGATATTATACGTAATTAATGCCTGTGTGATAATTTGTTCTTCTCTTGTTTAACCAAAGATAGGTGTGAAATCCAACCCTTGAAAGATTGATTTTGTGTTTAGTAGAAATTTTTAAATCAGATGATATAATTGAATCATATTCTTTTAAAAAGTTGTTATAAAAAAAATGTACTTGATCCTACTAAAAGATATATCAGTAAATATTTTTGATGATAGTCACAAAACTTTTTTTCTTGATTAAGTTTATAAATAGCTTTCTAATTATTGATTGAAAAACAGTTTATGAAGAAGTAGATTTTTATTTCAATTGTTCTTTTTTATATCAAAAATAAATAAGGTAAATGAAAAGTAGCATGAAAATTAAACATAAATGCAAATTTTTGAAAATTCTTTAAGTTTCACATTAAAAAAATTTTTAATATATTTTATTTTGAAATTACAATTGAATTCAAATTCATACGATCAGTAATACATCAAAGTAAATTTTAATACATATATTTGTAAATCTATAGGAATTTGATATTTATTGAGGATTAATAAACATCACTAGAAATATAGAGTTATTCAAAAATAATGTATTAGAAGATGCTTCCATGCAAAGCATGTATGTATGTACTGTATGGGGTTACTGTCAGGGAAACATGTAATTTACAGTATAAATCATTGTAAATATCAACGTATACTGTACAGTTAATTAATAATAATAATTTAATAAATGTGTAATTTAGAAAACTACAGTATTTAATCATTTTATTATCGTTTTGCATTCATTAAATAATTAATTATAATTAACTATACAATAACCTTGATGATTACATCTTACAATGATTTACATGTTAATTAGACATTCCCCTGACAGTGGCACATACACATATGATATGTGTGTATGCATCCTCTAATGCATTACTTTTGAACAATTCTGTATATAAACATTAATGGATTTAAAAACTGTTTCTTCAGATATTTAAATTGACATGTGTTATTAATTTTAACAAATAATAGTTGTAAAGAATATTGAAAAATACCTTTTGAATCTTTAAAATTTTGTTATAGATTATTTATATAAAACAGTATATTTTAAAATTTATGTTGATAATATTCGAAGATTGCATTTTTATTTGCAACTAGCTCAATTCATAATAATTTGGAAAGGATTTTTTTTATTTATTTGAAAATTTTGAATATCTAAAATAGTTATTCCTTACATTGAATGTAAATAATTTGATTTGTGTAAATAATTACTCAAATTCTAGTTGAAAACATTTAATTGGTCAAGCGATTTCAGTCTTGCTCCAAGTCAGGCCTGTCCCAAGATCTGTATAACTGATACTGGTCATACGGCCAACAATATGCTGGTGTCTCACATTAATCAATCAATAAAATGTGAATACAGAATTTCAAAATTTTATATTGATTACTGACAATATATAAACTATATTCTTGTGAAATTTTCATTAATATTTAATTTAATTGTGATTTTATTTTTTATAACTAACAATTTTAATTGTTTTATTATGAAGGATGCTACTGCTACTACTTCTACTACTATAACATCAGAAAATGATGAATTAGAAGAAACTCTTTCTAAGGTATATAAAACTATATTAAAAATGTTAATACTTCTTTTTTAATTATTTCTAAAGTCCAAATAGTTTACTAAAAAATTTGAGGAATCCTAAATTGCAAAATATTATGAATATCTTATTATTTATTTTTATTTATGTAGACACCCGACGTTTTAAATATCAGTGAAACTAAAGAAATTGAAACAGAATCAACGACTGATTGGGCTGTTGAAGTAAATGTACTTCTTCCTGTTGAAGATTTTCATCAAAGAATCCCAAATATGGCATTTAAAGTTAGGTTTTATATTATTTATATATGTTTTTAATATGACTTCATTAAATTCTTTGATAATAATTGGAATTATAACTATGAGAGCATAAAGCTTAACATACAATATATTTTATATTTACTTCAGTTTTATTAGAATTTCACTGGAAAATTGAAATTGGTAACACTTCTTTGAAAAATCATTTCAACTGAACAAATCTGCCCAATTCTAATTGTTTTAGCTTTTTTTATTTAGGAAGTTATATTTACAGAAACTTGCAAATGATACCTATGACCTTTTTAAGAATGAATTGCAATAAAACATTATGATTTTCATGTGTTAGTAATATTTGTTATCATCTGTCTATTGTTAGTACTAACAATATTTCAAAATTTGTTCCTAACTTCCTTTAATGCAGAAGAAACAGTGATCATATCAATGCATCAATGGTAACAGAAATATATATTTGGTTTTTAGTATTTTTCCTTCTCATTTGGAAATTTTTATAATTAGGAAAATTGCTTTTGAAAAAAAAAAATGAAATTGTATTTTATGATAGTTTTTATTTATGTTAAATTTTTACTGAATTAAACAAATTCCGGTTGATCATCTTTCGAATAAACGATGCTGTACTGTATAAGTTATAATATATAATAAATATGATTTTGTTTTCTCTGTTTCTGTTGTGTCAAAGGAGCTTAGATGATAACAAAAACATTCAAATAATCTTGAAAATACAGCAAAATATTTAATAACTAAAACATTTATGGACATTTTTGACAACCTTCTTCAAATAAAAGACAAAATGGAGTGGAATGTTTTTGTTATCTTTGCATGGCAACTCTGAATTAGGAGCTTACATGTTTTCAAATGTGTACACTTTTCTGGAATACGTAAGTACATATGTCTACTTATTCCAGAAAAGTGAAGGATAATGAATAGATAGACAATGATATAGTGAAATTATAATATTTTATTGAAAATTTTTTTCTTAAGTTCAAATGCATGAGAAACATGAAAATTATTTTTAACTAGATACAGAAGTGTATTAGGGAATTGTATAATTTATAAAACTGATTGTTTTTTATTATTTATGATTACAGTTGATGCTTCAAATATCTTTGCAAATCAGAGTAAATTGTGTGGTGGGCAGATTTGTCCTATAGCCATTTAGCACTGCTGGTTTATATGATAGATAAGATTAATTTATGATATATTTAAAAAATATGAAACAAATACTTCATGAGAAACCCAATGCATTATTTCTGCTTCAAATACATTGTGAGTATCAAATACAGTAGAGTGTCATTTATCCAAATCAATTGGGGACTGGGGTTGTTCAGATAACTTATTTTTCAGATAACCGATTATGTACGAAAAAATATATTAACCTATTCCATGTTGAAATTTTTCTCCGTTGCATGTCGCTTCGCGTTGAATTTTCGTCGATGTTAAGCCTAACATAAATTTTAAAAAAAATAATTGTGGCTATTGTATCATTAAAAATTATTTCTTTATTTTGTACAAACAAAATAAATATATTGAAAAATATAAAAACAAAAAATTATACTTTAGAAGTTAATTTAGTATCAAAAATGTTCGATTCAGCACGACACAGTCCGACTGGAATGCTTTCGGTTAACCAACGTTTTGGTTGATCATCATTCGGATAAACGATGCTCTACTGTATAAGTTATAATATATAATAAATACATTGTGTGAGCACTACCCTGTGCATCTAGCCAAACAATGGGCATATTCAAAATCTCAGCATGTAGCCAGCACATCTCAGTACCTCTGTTCAAAATCTCAGATGACTTCCAGTTGCTGCCAGCATGCTTCCAGCAAACTGCAAGTATTTTTTTTTTTGGTGCTCAATACACCAGCAAACAAGATGGCAGCCACCATGAGGCTCATAAGAGCTCTATTTTGTGTTCACAATTTTGAATTTAATTTATTTGTTGATGAATAAACCCTGAATAAATTAATATTTGGTTAGTGCATCAATAGAATATTTCAATATACTAGTATATTTACATAAGACATCACATAATTTTTTTTAGTTGTTAAAGTGTAATCTTAGGATTGATTTAATTACACTACTGGCCATTAAAATTGCTACACCGGAAAGGAATGCAAAAAACAGAATGATGTTTATTAGACACATACATTATAGTGGGAAGAACAAATACAGTAGTGCCTCGTATAATGTACGCCTCGAATAATGGACATTGCGAACAACGGACTTTCTGTTTGGCCGTTACATGACTTGAGCAACGGACTGGCTGTGAACAATGAACTTTCTGTTCAGCAGTTACGTTAGGCGAACAATGGACTTTCTGCGAACAAGTGCAAATGATGTTTCCACTCTTTTGCTGTTGCCAATGACAATCTGCTATTTTTGTAATATATTAATATTATTAGAATATATTATTAATATATCTGAAGTACAGAGCTCCTGTTGGGATTCAGCTTGCTCCCTTGTTTATTACATACTGTACATCACCTCAATGCAGGGTATTTACATTTATTCAAGTGTTGTGCAAATCATGGCTTCTAAAAAAACAGAAAGGTGATTTCAATTGAAACAAAGCAAAGAAATTATCAGAAGGAATGAAAGTTGACAGAAACTTCCTGTCAAATGGGGAGAGGTTCAGGAGTTTACCAATGCTCATTATTCAAACACAGCTGAGGCCAACAGGATCAATGATCTTTACAATGACACCCTTGCCTGTCATTTCTGACAGGTGTTGAAACAGATCACTTTGGACATGTTTTTCAAGAAGCCAGCTGCCAAAAACAAAGGATGGAACAAGAGGAGTTGATCCTGCAAGCCCCAGTAGCTTCTCCTGAATCTGACTCCGATTAAAAAACAATAAAAAGAGACCTGCTGCAACGTGTAAAAAGTCTGTATCTGTATAAATGTGTGAATAAAGTGATCCTCCACCTCCTCCTCACAACATCTGACTACCTGGCATAATTGGTGACTGCCCCATTTTCATTTTTTTTTACTGGTACATTACGGTTATTTTGTGCTGCGGAATGAATTATATGTTTTAACATGTATTTCTATGGGAAAATGCGTTTCATATAATGGACTTTTCACTTAACGGATGTTCACCTGGAACAGATTAAGTACCACTGTAACATATGATATGAGTCCACTGTACCATATGAGGATATGAGGCACCACTGTAATTAAATTTTCAGAAAATTTGGAGGTATAGATAGATCTTGGGAAATCAATACCCAGAGTAATCACCTTTTGCAGCAATAATAGCACTTATCTGCCAGGATGTGGAATCGAACAGAGATTGGATAGCATGTATGGGTACAGTAGTCCATGCAGCTTCAACACTATGCCACAAGTCATTGACTGTAGTGACTGGCAAGTGGTTTCGTGCCAGTTGCTGGGCAACCATTAACCAGACATTTTCAATTGGTGAGAGATCAGGAGAATGTGCTAGCAGGGTAACAGTCGAACATGTTCTGTATCAAGGAAGGTCAGGACAATACAGGCAACATGTGGTTGTTGCATTGTCCTGCTGAAACGTAGCATTACAGATACCTCAAAGATAGGGCAGAGCCACAGGCCTTAACACATGAGAAAAGTAATGGCTGCTGTTCAAAGTGCTACAAATGTGAACAAGAGGTAATTGAGACATGTATCCAATGGCACCCCCATACCATTACTCCAGGACTCCAGGTGATGGGCCAATATGATGATATCAAATGCATGCTGGCAATGTGCATTCTCCACAATGCCACCAAACACAGATGCAGCCATCATGGTGTTCTAAACAGAACTGAGATTCGTCTGAAAGATGATGTGACTGCCATTCCTATGTCCAGATTTGTCATTGATCACACCATTGGAAGCGCTCCTGCCTGTGATGCAGTGTCAACGGTAGCCAAAACTATGGTTGCCATGCTGACAGTCCATGCTGCTGCAAATGTTATTGAACTGTTCATGCAGAGATTTGTTGTCTTGCAAACGATCTCATTTCTTGACTAAGGGTTTGTGACATGGCTGTACGATCTGTTAAGGCAATGTGGATAAGATGTCTGTCTTCTCGACTGTTAGTGATGGGGGTTGCTGAGATCCTGCGTGGCATTCTGTATGACTGTTCTAAACCCATTGATTCCATATTCTGCTGACAGTCATGGGATTGTGACCAACACAAGCAGCAATACTGTGGTATGATAAACTGCAATCCTGGTAGGCTACAATTTGACCTCGATCAAAGTCAGACACATGCTGGTAGGCATTTCTCCTCTTTACACAAGGCATAACAACAATGTTCATACCAGAAAACAGCATTCAAATGCAATTTCTGTATGAGAAACCTGCTATAAAATCTCTTCTTTTATACACATTGTAGGTGTCACTACCACTGCCTGCCTTGCATGAATGCATTGAAAAGCTAATCATTTGCATATCACAGTATGTTTTATCTGTCATGCAAATTTCATGTGTGTGGTGTGCTGTCTTCCTGGTGTAGCAAAATTAATGGCCAGTAGTGTATTTAAAACTCTTATGGAAATTTAAAAAATCTTCATCCCTATTTCTCTTTTCGAAATATTCATTTTTCATTAAGCTTATCTCATTAAATAAGTTCAAACATAAATTTAACGTAACATGGAAGTCCACATCATTTGCCATTTTTTTTGTTTTTTTCTTCCGAAATTCCTGGCAGTTAGTGTTTGTGTTCTCTAGAAAATGCTAGCAGTTGCATCACTTCCAGCAGCATCTTACTGGATTGATGCTGAGATTTTGAATATGCTCAGTTCCATTGCTTTCTTTTCCTTTTAGCTCCATCATGGGAAATGCCATGTTAAATGCTCATTTATTCTTTACATTAGTCTTTTATATTAATTTTATGTTAATTTCTTATTCTTAAATTGTGTTTTTGATATGTATTTTGGAGTGTCTAGAATGAATTAATTGAATTTACATTGATTCAATGGAAATAATTGCTGTTGTTGTTATCGAAACCATGTTGTTATTTATGTTTGTATACTGG